TTTGAATGAGCTTTACAATTCATTTTCTTATGTCATTATTCCATGGCGTTAAAAAGTTCTTATAAAAAAATTAAAGGTGTTATGAATTTCATCCCCTTAGAGGGCGCTAGGGAATATGCTTAAGGTGTTAACCAGTAGTGTTAAATATTTCATTTTTATTTTGTTTGTAATTTTCGTTTACATTTTTTAGTTTTTCGTCTTCGTAGTCGACCGTCTCGATCTTTAAACTTGTATTGTCACTTCACCTTGTCTTCTTGTAGAAATAAATTCATTCGTGTACCAGTTTTCGTGTTGTTTCATTGAGCTCTGCCAAAAGTTTCTATTGTGAAAGGTTTTTCCTTAATTCATAAACATAAGTGCAAGTGCTTTTCCGAAAGAAAAACGTAAGACAGTTTAAGTTTCGTTTTCAATATTTCTCTTTATCAGCACGTTTAGCTGCATTAATAAGAACGGTTCGGTTATGTTTCTCAGCATTTCTTGAAAATTAAATTCACTACTAAAATATAATAAAAGAGATTATTCTTTTAAACGCACTGTCATTAAAATATAATTAAATGCGAATTAACACATCTAAACGAATTTTAATGCCCTCATTAACGTCTTAATTACCATTCTGTACACATAAATAACCTCAAATTCTCTGTTAAAATTCAGTTTATCCAGTTTCTGTGTAAGAGTCGGTTCTAGTGAAATATTAATCAATATGTTTTTCCAAATTTTTCCGAAAACGATCAACACAAACCAAGTGCCTTTCTTTTTGGAGTTTCCCATGGAACTAATAATAATAATTTTAGGTTTTCTTGATCCGAAATCTCTATTGGTTGCAGCTGTAACTTATGATAAGGTGATGAATGTTTGTCAAGGACACACAACTCTTCGAAGACGATTGAGGGCTGCTCAAAAGTCCGAAGAAAAACGAAGAGTGAATTATTTCTTAAATCCAAGTGGTGCGATTAAAGTAAGAAGAAATGGACCTGTTGATAATTGTTCGACGAAAATTGAAGTTATTAAAAAAGACTTTTTGCCTTTGGATTTAATTGGTAAGATTAGTATTAGAGGTGAAGGTAGAATTAGGACGAAAAGTAATGTTACATTAACTCGAAATTTTAGAATATAAGTTTTTAATTTTAAGTGTGTTAACGTATTCATTTTTGAATAAATTTTATACTATAAGATGTTGCTTGTGAAATTTAACGATTAAGATCCTAAAATAAAGTTAGTTAAATATAAATATCATGTTTTCTTATTTTGATGGGAGTGTTTGGAAATGTAGCCTCAATAACCAATAATTTAGGTCAACTTTATAGGATTACTCGATTCCCACTTGGTTTATAAAATATGAAAATTTTATAAAACAATAAACACACAATCTCAATTAATTTTTGATATTGTAATATTATATAAAATAAAATAAAAGAATTAAAAAAATTCTTTTAAATTATCTGTTATAGATGTTGCAACCGCGGAATACCGAGCATACTACAGGAAACTCTTTTTCACTTTTGCTCTCGGATGCAAGAATATCGAGAACATATTACGGAAAGACTCTTAGAACAAACGTATAGCAAATTTTAATCTTAACAATGCCACTCTTCTTCACTTTTGCTATCAGATTCGTTTGCCGGACTAACGAAGTAAGTACGGCAATGACGGACCAGCCACAAACGAAACTGCTTCTCTTCCGAATAAAACATAGTATTTTGTCCTCAAACGTTGCAAATAATACGGTTATGGCGCTAAAGTGAAATTTACTTTAGCGCCATAACGCTGAAGTACTTTTTTGCTATGTTGATCTTAGCAACCGTCGTTATGCAACAATGACTTACTTCTACCGCGATAAACAAAGTTGTCATTTAATGACGTTTGAAGAAAAACAATATACTATTAAATTCCGTAATAAAAAAAATTGTTGATGAAAAATGTGTGTTTTGAGAAACCAAAATAGACTTGTTATGCCGTTTTTGCAAAATAATGTTTATAAGCATATTATGAAATTTCTTCCATAAGTTTGGCGCACACTGTATATCTCGGTAAATATCATTGTGTTATTTTGACAAGTACTACATCCTAATAAAGTTTTCCGATTAAATACTGAACCAGCCTGTATATAAAGTGGTAATGGATTCCCAATATTCTAAATCCTAAACATTGTTTCGAATAAAAGTTGTTTAAAATTCAATTTTAAATAAATTATCTTAATAAACGAAAAAGGTTAAAATGAAAGTCAAAGTACGTATAAAGCAATTTAGATGTCTCACCTATAAGAACAATGGGATAAATGTTAAATATGTGATGCATATTTATAAAACAATTTGCAGACCCATTCTTGATTATGGAGTTCCCATGTTCCTTAATATCAGCAAAAAGGCGACATCGCATCTAGAAGTAGCAGAGAAAGATCAGCAATTAGAATAATATCCAAACTTCGAAACCCCAGAAATCCCCTATTCAACCCCTTTAACAAACTCCTTTATCAAAAATTCCAAATTATTCCCATTACTCAACGAATATCTCTCCTCGCACAAAAAGCTTACAAAAATATGTCCTCGAACTCTTCTCCTCTTTTCCAATCCTCAAATTTTGACACTATTTACAAGAAAATCGTGGATTCCCAACAGATGACTAATCAGTGTATCATGGGCAGATGGACCACGGTCGGTGGCCCGTTTCAGCTTCAAAGTTTAACTTTAAGCTTACATTGTATAATATTATTTGTTCAATCCTACCTTCGAAATTGTCAGTTTCTAACTTGGATACGAGTGTTGAAAGTTGTTATTTGCATTCATTCTGCTGACTTTCATAGAAACGAGTGAGTGAAAATTTTTTCAATCACTGTTAGCTAAATATAAAACCTTTAAAAGAACAACTCTTTGTTTAAACGTAACGTAATAAGAGCTGGAAATCACAAAGAGCATTCAATTTTACATAAAAAAGGTACTTTTATTGAAATTGTCTAAGTCTATCGGTTTTCGAATTAATTACTTTTAAATGTTTAAATGTATTTTTTCTTCTAAAATATTTATTTTTTAACATAAGCAAAGTTGGGTTATTTTTCCGCTTATGTTTCGACAATTGCCTGTTAATTGTCAACATTGATTTAATTTCCGTGTGCAATAATCATTTTTACCAACAATAAAGTTATTACCAATTTGAAAATGCCACGACATAATGAGTTTTTTAATAGTGAGAAATCCAGGTTTAAGTCCACTGGATTTTTGAAAATGGCCAAAATATTCTATTGTTATTAATTGTTATTGTTATCGATTATTATCGTTACTAATTGCTATAGTTACTGTGTGTTATTGATTTTAAATGTTAACCTTAAAATTACTTTGAAACAATTAAAAGCAGATAACTTGGAAACCAGTAGACTTATACAATGTAAGCAAGAGTACCTTTTTTGTGCAGAATTGAAAACTCCTTCAGATTTGTGGTTCTAATTCACCATACCTCAACTGACAAAATAGTCATGACTTTATATCTCAAACGCACAGTGTGTATCTAGCGCCCTCTACGAGTAATCACAAAACAAATATCAAATTCGTATTTGTCATGCTCGAAAACATCTAACTACCAAATTTTATGTTAATAGTACAAAAACCTTCAAAATTATCAAGAAATTTCGAAATAAAAATTTAACTTTTAACACCCTGTGTATTAAAAGCCACTGACATTTGTATAAGACATGTTAGGTTAAATCGCCATATTTTGGTGTCTAGTGTCTCCGGTATTCGGATTTCCCATTCTTTCTGACTCACCCTGTATAGTAAGCTTAATTCCGATTTTATCATCTACAAATTATAATTATTTTGACAATGTAAATACACAATAATTTAACTTTTAATAAAATAATGTTGTGCTTGTGATCTGCCCATCAATTTTGTCAAAAAAAAAATTCGCAAAAGACTTATGTCAAAAAAAGGGAAAAAAAAGTGAAGAAACGGTGCGTAAACGCATTAATGGTCGTAAATGGCTTGAAATTATTGAGACTTTCTATAATATTAAACGGTCAAAATGCCATTTTAAATGAGATTAGAAAAAAATATTACTAATGGAAATTAAGAGACGATTTTTACATCGAATTTTAACTAAATTCTTTAGTACAGAAACGTATTTTAAAATTAAGAAACAATTTTTTTCACTTATTAAAGTTCAATTATTTTATTTTATGAATGTATTTGACTATTTTATGAATTTTTAAAATCTACTACGACATAACATTGGTCCAGTTATTTGAATTGTAAAAACGAAATTGTGTATTTTTGTTCGAATCCAAGGCGCGCTCGACTTTAAGCTGGCGTCGGGCGCCCGTCACTTCAGGGTTGAACAGACGACAAGGCTAGAGCGGCTAGAGCGCAGGTTCGAGAGAAAATGAGTACGCCCCTCCAGTCTTCGATTCTTCGGCCGTACTCGGCAAAGCGACCGTGCGGGGGATTTGTTTTCTGTCCTTTACGCCATGTAGCAAATAAGGCTGGGGCGATAGTACGTCAAAAACAAAGAAATAAGGGTATTTCACAACTTTAAAGTGATTTTTCGTTAAGTTGCAAACTTTTCCGCACTTTTTTTATTGTTAACATCTTTGCTAGGTCTTTTCTTATTGATAAAAAAAATTGACGATTTTTAAGCGACAATTCGATTGTTAAAAAATACTAAATAGTATATTATATTAAAAAATTTAAAGATTATTTTTTATTGAACACCTGTATCTCATAAACCAGCAACATTAATTATTAATAATAATTACCTTGAAATCAGTTTTTAATTCTCACAGTTACAGAAAAAATAACAAAGAAACGCAGATTTAAAATTGAAATGTACAATAACACACTTGAATACACTTCAACTCTTACCAACTTTTACTAAACAAATGCACGGAGCATCACATAGCCATAAGGTTGCGTGCGCAATCCGTGATCGCTTACGTCACGAAGCACTCCTGCTCTTGCCCCTCGCCCACAAACTAAAATCAAAGTATTGCAGCATAGGAACCTAAACGACCTTTAACATATAAACCTTGGGCACTGCAACCTTGCTACGGCGTCCATCGCTTGTTCGTTGTACTCTATGATTTTTTCGCACTCCGCTTCCATTTGATCTTTTCCAAACGTAGGCGCCAATCTCTCGTTTACGTCTTCTAAATTTATCTGAACCGCTTTTATTTTCGCTAGTAATACGTCGATTTCATCAACAATATCACTATTTAATTGCCGCGTGCTTATATCTTTTGATTGATTTATCAGCTTGGTTAACTAGCACGTGTTGTCTTCCTTACCGCTAAATCCATCGTTGATTTTTCTTTGTTCTCTACACACACGTCACTTCGCTACGTAAATTTCCGTAAGTTTCCCGGGTTTCGGCACCAAAATGTGGCAATAGTTCAATAAAACTCACCTCGCTGGTTCAAGTCGTACTGGTTATCGGTTGTCGCTGCGCCGATATGTTCCACGCAACCAGAGATTCCCCTAGCTTCGTTTAATTCGTTCAAAATTCTCCACAATACCGATCCAAAAGCGATGGCTATAATCGAAGTCCGATCTTATTTACCGGAAAATTTAATACCTAAAAAGGATGACCCTTTGGAATGGTGGAGCAAAAGAGAAACCATTTACCCTCATATCGCTCAATTGGCACAAAAACATTTGTGTATCATTACAACATCCGTTCCGTCTGAAAGGGTTTTCTCAAAAGCCGGACAATTAATTTCGGACAGACGAAGCCGACTAAAAGGAGATAACGTTAATAAAATCTTGTTTTTGCATAATAATTACAAAATTTAATTTATTTTTTTATTTTATTTCTTTAAAGTATTACGTTTTTGTTATTTTTTTAATTTTGAATAAAATTTTGTTTTAAATGACAAATATCTTATTATTTGCAAACATCTGAATCGAGTAATCGGTTACAAATGGTAAGGTTGGTAAATAATTTCTACCTGGGTTGCTATTTGTAACCGTTTACTCGCAAAAAATTCTTAAATACCTGTTCCCTAGTTCCTAAAAGTTCAAGTAATCAAAGTAACAAATACAACAAATGATTATTGGAAATTCGAGTAACGAGTATTCAAAAGTACCGTTAATCGACATCAGTACTCGCTCAACGGCCTGGCGTGGGTCCGTCAACGTAGGCGGGGGTCAGAGAGCGCTCACGCGCATTCGTCCCTATAAATCAAGCCTCACACACATGCGTGCTGCTAACGACAACCAGAGATTGACGACTGGTTGCCGGGACCGACGTCTTAACGTCCCCTCCGAAGGACGGGGGGCAACTCAACGTGCTTTTACTGGGGTTTGAACCCGGGACGTCTGCATGTTAACCCGAGAGCTAACACGCTGAGCGATCACGCCCCCTAGCTTTGGCTTAAACGATGTATTTATTTTCTTATTCAAATTCGGTGCGACACGTGTTTCGCCGTTGATTGCTTATCAGGTACAAAAGTGAGCCAAGTAATTTCCAACAATAAACACAGATTTAATGATTTACAAAAGAGCGGAGTTTACCTTATTCAATGTGAATATTGTGATAGTAAATATGTAGGACAAACGGGGAGAAATTTACCAGCTAGATTCAAGGAACATAAAACAAAACAATTTATTAACGTTTATAAACATTTACAAATGCACAAACACTCCATCTATATTATCAACATTTCACTACTTAAAAACATTAATAAATCTAAACAACTTGATCTCTATGACGAATATTTCATAGTTAAATATAAGTTGGAAGACGAAGAAAACCTACTTAACGATAATTCCGACATTAACAACCAAAGATTCTTTTTAAAATTGTTATAATATTCTTCGTTACATTCATTCCAATAGTTCAATTCATAGATTTAAAATTATATTTTCAAACTTCCCGCTTGTTTCAACGGAAATTTTTCATAACCTAATAACTTGATTCGCTTACGCATCCTCAGTTCGCTCAAAGTTAAAGTTTTATTTTATAATTTATATCTAGTTCAATCAAGTTAATCATCAAAATTCAAAATTTAATTATTATTGTTTTGGCTTTGTCTTTTCGAAATTAATACGTATTTTAATATAATTTTGGCTTAACGTATACGAAATTTAAATAAGGAAATTTTTGAGGTTAATTAAAGCATGGATGGTATAAAGTTAAATTTAAAGATATTATCAAGTCTTTTATGATTTTTACTTTTTTTTACAGTTTATTATATTCAAGTTAATAAGTCAATATTTATCAACTGTACAAATTTAATGTTCCAAGTAAATTTCAAAACATGGTTCATTCGGAAAGTCTTTTTCTAGTCTTATTTCTCTCGGATCGTCAATCATTTGACCAATGACGGTAATGTATAATGTATATTCCTACAATCTTTGTCTATTTTTATGTACCAGTCGTGCCCGAATGTGAATAAGAAAATAAATACATCATTTAAGCCAAAGCTGGGCTTTTATTTACATATCTGTTAGTTAAGACTGTGTAGTGGTATGACATTAATCATATTAGTCGAACTTGATCAAAATGCAACCAACAACTTACTCATTTTCAGGTACATTTATTAAAAGTAGAATGGATGGTTACACAATAAATAACTCAGTTTTGGACGAAATCTTTTTCTTTATCAGCACGTTTATCTGCATTAATAAGAATGGCTCGTTATGTTTCTCGGCATTTTAAAGATGAATTAACCCATCTAAACGAATTTTAATACCCACATTAACGTCTTGATTACTATTCTGTACACATAAATAACCTCAAATTCTGTGTTAAAATTCAGTTTATCCAGTTCCTGTGTAATAGTCGATTCTAGTGAAATATTAATCAATATGCTTTTACAAATTTTTCCAAAAACGATCAACACAAACCAAGTGAACTTCTTTTTGGAGTTTCCCATGGAACTAATAATAATAATTTTAGGTTTTCTTGATCCGAAATCTCTATTGGTTGCAGCCGTAACTTATGATAAGCTGAGGAAAGTTTGTCAAGGACACACAACTCTTCGAAGACAGTTGAGGGCTGCTCAAAAGTCCGAAGAAAAACGAAGAGTGAATTATTTCTTAAATCCAAGTGGTGCGATTAAAGTAAGAAGAAATTGACCTGTTGATATTTGTTCGACGAAAATTGAAGTTATTAAAAAGACTTTTTGCCTTTAGATTTAATTGGTAAGATTAGTAATAGAGGTGAAGGTAGAATTACGACGAAAAGTAATGTTACATCAACTCGAAATTTTAGAATATAGTAAAATTTATCTTATAGATAAACCCATCTATTAGCCAATTAGAGCGCATAAAATAGCACCATGACCGTAACCATATGGTAAGAATCTCTTAGATAGCTTAACCAGAAGATGGTAGTAACGAGCCTAAGGTTCATTACCCAGAATCCCAGAAACGTTTAATGACCGATCTGGTTGAGACACCTGTATGTAAACAACCATTTGTGTTAAATTGTTAATTGTCATCATTATGCATAAAATTAATAAATTGATTAAAATTAATAATTTATACAAGTGAAATACTTAATTAACTTGCCACGTGTGCTGTCCACTGTTTTTTAGTTTCGTTACGTTTAAACAAAGAGTTGTTCCTTTAAGGTTTTATATTTGGCTAACAGTGGTTGAAAAAAATTAGAGTTAATGAAAAAAATTTTCACTCACTCGTTTCTGTGAAAGTCAGCAGACATTCACTCTGCCGAATAACAAATAATTTCTTTCAACACTCGTATCCAAGTTAGAAACTGACAATTTCGAAGGTAGGATTGAACAAATTAAATTTGGATACAAAATATGAATTTATAGGTAATATAAATTTTTTATTAAATTTAATTTGGATATGCAATAAAATACGATAAAAGATATATATCCTGTATAAGATACGCTGATACAACAAATACTCGTTAAATTAATTCCTCGTTATTATTCTTTTATTATTCAAATATTGACGTTAGCGATGTTCGAATAAACCATCTATTTACAATCTATTTGACAATATCTGAAGAGTAATAGTGCAAATTTAGAACTCTTTTGAATGAACGTATAAAATAAATACTAAATGATTAGTACCAAAAATTTTTATGTAGTACAAAATTAGTACATAAATAGCACAAAATTATGGCACAGTCAAAATGTTGATATCTAAAAAGGGGGGTGTAACTGAATGTCCAGCTACACTCGTAAAATTTGTATTTATTTATTTTTGTTTGTAAATATGCTGATATCTTGAAATGGGGTGTAGCTGTACGGACCTGTATTTTAAACATGCTAAACCAAACACTGTGCGACCTCTACAAATCAGAGATTCAACTATACAAATTTTTGTATCAGTTATTAGAACCCAAGTAAACTGAACGGCCACCTTAAAGCCTAGGTCACACATAAAGAATACAGTTGCGAGACAGTGTACTCGGCCGAGCCCTCGGTTGGTATAAACATATTACCGAGTGCTCGACCTAGTACCAGGGCGAGACAGTCAAGCCTAGGTCACACGTAACGAGTACAGTGGCGAGACAGTGTACTCGGCCGAGTCCTCGGTTGGTATAAACATTACCGAGTGTTCGGCCGAGGGCTCGACCTAGTACCAGGGCGAGACAGTCACTCGGACCCTATTCTATTTACTGGACCGAGTGCCACGCTACTCTCTCGGCCTAGTGTCATTTTACTGTCTCGCCACTGTACTCGTTACGTGTGACCTAGGCTTCACTCGGACCCTATTCTATTTACTGGACCGAGTGCCACGCCACTCTTTCGGCCTAGTGAGATTTTACTGTCTCGCCACTGTACTCGTTACGTGAGATCTAGGCTTAAAGGTGCCTTTAGTGCGAGGGAGATTTGGAGATTTGGTGAAACGGAAATTGACGTGATCACCAGATCGCCGTATCACCAAATAACCTGCGCAGTAAATAGGTTTTGTGACAGTGTTAGTCTCCTTCCTTTAAATCTCCCAATACCCAAATCTCCTAATCTCCTTCGCACTAAAGGTACCTTAAGCGTTCAAAGTCTAACGTTCATCAGGTAAATTTGAATTTAAAAAATGTTTGAATTTTAAATTTACACGCGCGCCGTCTATCGCTCATCAGGTAAACCCCCTCCCCATGTTTTAGTTTCCCCGCACACCACAACAAGATGACGTCAGGCTAAATTTTTAAGTTAGATTTTAGATTAAGTATAGAAATCTGCAATTTTTCAAATTTTTTACGAGTGACGTAAAAACCTTTTCTCGTACAGAAATATCTAGGATTTAGTTCCACTCATCGAGATACATATATATTTACTGGAGTACGTGCTCACGATATTCGCTTGGTCGAGAAAACGGTCCGATTTGCTAGCATGTTCCCCCACCCTATAACGGCAAGAAATACAAATAGTACTAACTAATGGATATAATTCAGCATGAATTTATTCAATATTTACTAAGTAATTCAAATAATATTATTCAATAATGATGAAAAATACCAAATATTACATATTTAAGTTATCATAGTTAGGAAAAAAAAAAAATAAATAAATAAATTTTACGTATGTTACGTTGAAGCTTTTTGCCGTTATGGGGTGGGGGAGGCTGGCTCGTTTTCTAGCTCAAAGCACGCACTCCAGTAAACATAGTATATCTCGATGGTTCCACTACACCCCGCTATGTGGCGCGAATTTATTTAAGTAGTAACTTTTGCAACACCAACCCAAATCTGGTTACTTTCCCCTAGACTTAAGTTGGCACCGCTCCCTATACTTCTAACATTGTAGCGTGACGTGATAGGGGGGGCATGCGGGGCAGCTCCTGTGCCAGAACTCTCGGTTCTTTTCTACCTTTTCTACCTTATGGACTTCGAAACATGTCGCGTGTTTCGAAGTGATTTTAAATAAAAAAATTTTTAATTCCTCGTTATTATTCTTTTATTATACAAATATTGACGTTAGCGATGTTAGAATCAACCATCTATTTAACAATCTATTTGACAATATCTGAAGAGTAATCGTGCAAATTTAGAACTCTTTTGAATGAACGTATAAAATAAATACTAAATGATTAGTACCAAAAATTTTAATGTTGTACAAAATTAGTACATAAATAGCACAAAATTATGGCACAGTCAAACTGTTGATATCTAAAAAAGGGGGTGTAACTGAACGTCCAGCTACACTCGTAAAATTTGTATTTAATTATTATTTATTTTTGTTTGTATTTATGCTGATATCTTGAAAGGGGGTGTAGCTGTACGGACCTGTATTTTAAACATGCTAAACCTAAAGTCCCTAGATTTACAAAGTACCCCGGGTCATGAAGCCTGTTTTCGAGCCAAAATGGCGGTTTGACAGCTTGTCACTGCATCTCATCACTTATTTACAAAAATGTTGCCTTTGGAGTTGCAAAAATGGCAGTAGTTAGAGTACTACGAGAAAAAAAGAAAGGAAATTTGGCGTAATGTTATCAATAGAACGACATAGTTTTAAATTTCCCGCTTGACTTTCGAGCCAAAATGGCGTCAAATCGCGGTTCTTTGTAAATCTAGGGACTTTAGCTAAACCAAACACTGTGCGACCTCTACAAATCAGAGATTGAACTATACAAATTTTTATATCAGTTTTTAGAACCCAAGTAAATTGAACGGCCACCTTAAAGGTGGCTTTAGTGCGAGGGAGATTTGAAGATTTGTTGAAACGGAAATTGACGTGATCACCGGATCGCCGTATCACCAAATACCCAAATACCCTGCGCAGTAAATAGGTTTCGTGACAGTGTTACTCTCCCTCCTTCAAATCTCCCAATACCTTCGCATACCTAATCTCCTTCGCACTAAAGGTACCTTAAGCGTTCAAAGTCTAACGTTCGTCAGGTAAAATTGAATTTTAAAAATTTTCGAATTTTAAATTTACACGCGCGCCATCTATCGCTCAACAGGTAAACCCCCTCCCCCTTTTTTAGTTTCCCCGCACACCACAAGATGTCGTCAGGCTAAATTTTTAGGTTAGATTTTAGATTAAGTACAGAAATCTACAATTTTTAAAATTCAATTTTACCTGACGAACGTTAGACTTTGAACGCTTAAGGTACCTTTGGTGCGAAAGAGATTAGGTATGCGAAGGTATTGGGAGATTTGAAGGAGGGAGAGTAACACTGTCACGAAACCTATTTACTGCGCAGGGTATTTGGGTATTTGGTGATACGGCGATCCGGTGATCACGTCAATTTCCGTTTCAACAAATCTTCAAATCTCCCTCGCACTAAAGCCACCTTTAAGGTGGCCGTTCAATTTACTTGGGTTCTAAAAACTGATACAAAAATTTGTATAGTTCAATCTCTGATTTGTAGAGGTCGCACAGTGTTTGGTTTAGCTAAAGTCCGTAGATTTACAAAGAACCGCGATTTGACGCCATTTTGGCTCGAAAGACAAGCGGGAAATTTAAAACTATGTTGTTCTATTGATAACATTACGCCAAATTTCCTTTCTTTTTTTCTCGTAGTACTCTGACTACTGCCATTTTTGCAACTCCAAAGGCAACATTTTTGTAAATAAGTGATGAGATGCAGTGACAAGCTGTCAAACCGCCATTTTGGCTCGAAAACAGGCTTCATGACCCGCGGTACTTTGTAAATCTAGGGACTTTAGGTTTAGCATGTTTAAAATACAGGTCCGTACAGCTACACCCCCTTTCAAGATATCAGCATAAATACAAACAAAAATAAATATTAATTAAATACCAATTTTACGAGTGTAGCTGGACGTTCAGTTACACCCCCTTTTTTAGATATCAACAGTTTGACTGTGCCATAATTTTGTGCTATTTATGTACTAATTTTGTACAACATTAAAATTTTTGGTACTAATCATTTAGTATTTATTTTATACGTTTATTCAAAAGAGTTCTAAATTTGCACGATTACTCTTCAGATATTGTCAAATAGATTGTTAAAGAGATGGTTGATTCTAACATCGCTAACGTCAATATTTGTATAATAAAAGAATAATAACGAGGAATTAATTTAACGAGGATTTGTTGTATCAGCGTATCTTCTACAGGATATGTATCTTTTATCGTATTTTATTGCATATCCAAATTTAATTTAATAAAAAATTTATATTACCTATAAATTCATATTTTGTATCCAAAACTAATTTGTTCAATCCTACCTTCGAAATTGTCAGTTTCTAACTTGGATACGAGTGTTGAAAGTTCTTATTTGTTATTCAGCAGAGGGAATGTCTGCTGACTTTCATAGAAACGAGTGAGTGAAAATTTTTTTTCATTAACTCTAATTTTTTTCAACCACTGTTAGCTAAATATAAAACCTTAAAGGAACAACTCTTTGTTTAAACGTAACGGATGTTAACTAAAAAACAGTGGACAGCACACGTGGCAAGTTAATTAAGTATTTCACTTGTATATATTTTTAATTTTAATCAATTTATTAATTTTATGCATAATGATGACAATTAACTATTTAACACAAATGGTTGTTTACATACAGGTGTCTCAGCGAGATCGGTCATTAGACGTTTCTGGGGTTCTGGCCAAAATAAAAATTTGAGAATTCAGACTTAGGTGTTATCAATTACGTTCTCTTAAACTAAAATATTTTCAGATTTCTAGCACTTCCGGTTATACCGGAAGTCGCCACCTACTTTATTTTTTTAAATGGAACACCTGTAAATTTTTACATATTTGGATTCGTCTGTTTTCAAGGTTTATAAATAACTTTACTTTTTGCAATTTGATTCGGCCGTTCGCGAGTTATTCGAATTTTTCTAGAAAAATCTGCTCCAGCAGACATTTGTTCAAAAGATCAAAGAACATTCGATCAGCAACATGATGGAGTATGTTTTGGTGCCGAGAACGGCTGTCTAGATCGTTTGGTCACTTTACTATGGCACGTTAACTTTTCGAAATTTGGAGGTATCTTAAATTAATTTTTTTAAATGGCACCCCCTATATTTTATTACTTAGTCGTCTTCTGCGTCTCATTTTACATCTTTTATTCTCCATATATCCTATACCTAACATTAATAGTTTGGAAAATAATTAGGGGTTTTTGAAGAATGCTCACATATCACATCGATATTAACCTAGTGTGCCATGGAAAACAAATCTTTAATGACTTTGACAAACGTCAAAGTCTGATTTACGTTGTTTGATGATCCTGGACCATTCAACCGATTTGAATATTTATTGGTCTTGTTTGAAAGCAAAAGTGAAAAAGGGTGGTATAGTTAAGATTAAAATTTTCTATACGTTTGCTTTAAGAGTCTTTTCGTAATATGTTTCGAATCCCGAATGCCACCATTAACAAATTATAAAACTACGAATTCATCTAATTTTCATATTTTTTTATTACCTATCGCACATCACAAAGAATAAATTCCGAAAAATTGTAAAAGATTTTCCGATCACCAGTGCTGAAGACAACGAAATAAATATTTTATAAAATATTGATAATAATTAATTAACTAAAAACGTTTTTGAAAAATACTGGTCCGTATTGACAATTGTGAGAGCATCTGAATTTCTTTCTTCATCTTTTTCATTAGTTTGTAGAAACAACAGATTCAATATTTTTAAAGCAGACGCGATTTCAATTTTCCGATATATTTTAGATTTATTTTATTTCAGTCTCTCCTACTTATTTTAAAGATTTCAATGCCTTATTCGTGTAAATAAGAGGTCTATCGGGAACAGACCCCATTACAAACAGAAACGCGACAACTTGAAAATTAAAAAAGGTTAACACGGACCTGTTGTCATTCAAATTATTACACAAAACACTAAACATTCTGTATAGATGCGCATTCATTTTTGTTCATTTTACCGAACAAAAATGGGTTTCTTAACTTGCAATTCAACCATTTTCATTCAATGCTTTTATTAAGCCAAGTTATTTATTATCAATAAATCCACCCCTTCTCCTCTAAGATTGGCTCACACCTTATTATATTGTGGCGTTTTATTGAATTAATCAGATTTTTCAAACAATATCTAAAACGAAATAAATTGGGCTAAAATGCAATTGTTAAGCTTATACTTATTAATATTGCATTTCTTTGTTCCATTTCTAAATTTTATTTTGCTAAAACTTATAAGCTAAAATAAAATCAAAAGTAGTTAAAATTTTTTTATAGGTAGGTTATTATAATATATTTTTTTATATATTTTTTAAGTATAAATCTACATTAAAGCAAAAAAAAACTTAACGATTATTCTAAAAATGTATCAAGCTAGATTTATTAATGAAACTAAAATAACTCCATCCCCACGAACAAACAACATCGGAATGGCTCTCTTTGTAAATAAAGAAATCTCCCCGTAAGTTTCATTGTCCATTTCATAACTAGTTATAGTTTCCTCCGCGTCGCCAAGCACCATGTTCACATGTTCGTCGTAGGCATGAAGTTTTCCACTTAACTCACGGTTTTGTTGCGTTTTAACATAAATTCGTTCGCCCAAACTTAACCTCAATAAATCTTTGGGGTTTTCAAGGGTTACTGGAGGAATCTTAAAAAAAGTATTAGAAATGCATTAGAAAAAATTTTCTTGTAAGTTAAATTGCTTACATTGTCTTCTGTATCAGCCATTACGGATATTTGTGGATTTAATTAAATTGTATTGTTGACGTCAAATTTATAAAAGTATATCGTATCGAGATCAACGTAACACTGAAGCCACAGAATATATGTATAAGGAGAAGAAGGTTAAAGTTCTAGCAACACAGGTTACCCCCACTTTTGCGTCACCCGATTTGGTTTCCTTATTTTTCTTCTTATTTATAATTTTCATTTTTAGAACCGCATTTTCTTTACTCATAACCGCATTTTTCGTTCGATTTATTTTAATATAATTTTTTTAATTATTTTGTTCAACGTTTTTTCTTTTGTTTTCCTTCGCTATTGACAACACCTCATTTTTAAGTCGTGGAAGCTGTTTGAGCGAACATTTTTGGTCCTTCTTGCCGGATCATTAATTATTTTTCTTAATTTTTGCTATTTTTTAACGTATTTACGCGGCATTTTGCATCTAGGGACTGTGTCCACTTGTTCGGTTCATTTGTTTTATCAGCACATCTGGTGCCTTCACCAGTTTTCGTAACAAGTTGTTCCGCTATCCGTCTCTTGTCTTCTATATAACTATTGTTTTTGAAATTACAATTTTTACTTTTAAAGACTCTATTCAAAATTTAAGTTATTTTTATTTTAGAAATTAATTACTGACCACGAAACTTAAAGTAGGGGTGTCGAAAGAAACACTGTTTCGAGTTAAACATAGTGTTTTATATTTAGATATAGATGACTTATATTAATTAAAATTTTCTTATGGGTTCGTTTTTGTACAAATGTGACACTTGACGACTTATCTGGTTATACTGTGGCATGCGTAACGCATTAAAATTGTTACATTGTGATTAAATGCGTGAACATTACCACTTCCTTTCGAGGCAACTCGAAAATATAAATGCCACTGGGGGCTGTAAACAATTGTTTTTCGTTTTTAAGTCGACTCGGAATAAATTTTTATGAGAGGTGGATGTTGTTCATCTTTAACGACCACCAGGTCACCAATGTGGACAGTGGGTGTTCATACAAAATTAAAAATGTTACTCTCGTTAAACAAGATTCGAAATAAATTCTCTCTGGAGTTTGATTGGTGGATGAACATTTAAATTATGATGAAAATAATTAAAAAGGATTAATTAATAAAAAGAAAACCCTTTAAACTATTCTTTTTTAATTAATTTATTTCATAAATCAAAAAAAGATCTTTTATTTTATTATAAAAATAAAGGTTTACAAGTTTTATTATAAAAACAATTCAAAATGTTGACCATTATTTTCTAAACATAAAGTGATTCTTCTTTTCATATCGAAGTCGTGTACAAGTTGTTTTGCTGTTATTTGTTGAACATTGTGTTGTATTGCATCTTCCAATTCTTCGATGGTATGTAACCGGTTTTGTAATCAGAAAAAATATTATGATAATATTAAAAAATATATATAAATAATAATAATAATTACAATTTCTATATGTATATGTATTAACTGGGTAATCACCTTAAAGAGAATATTACTTCTTTGTGATACAATGATATAATTCTTCGACGCATTGACTGTCTAACACGCAGGAAAATTTCCGGAGTGTTCCAAATTATGTCGCAAGATACAACAATGCGTTCTCTTAATTGGTCAACATTTTCAACTGGAGTAGCGTAGACTAGGATTTTCATATGGCCCCAAAAGAAAAATCTAAACAATTAAGTTCGGGAGATCGCGGTGGCCAAGGGTGCGGACCTCCTCGACCGATCCAACGGTCTGGATATTCGTCGTCTAAGTATTGGCGAGCAACCAAACTAAAGTGGGTCGGAGCTCCATCATGCATAAAGTACATGTTTTGTCTTACTTGAAGCGGTACATCTTCTAGCAGTTCCGGCAGTACTTCTTCTAGAGATTGTTGATAATCTGTACCGTTTAATCTGTTCGGTAAAAAATGTGTGCCTAAATGATCACCGACGATGGCAGCCCAAACATTTACGGAAAATTGTTGTTGATGATGGCCTTTTGCAATTTCATGTGGATTTTCTTCTGACCATATGTGGTTATTGTGAAAATTGAAAATACCATCCTTCGAGAAAGATGCTTTATGGGTAAACAGAACTTCGGCTCCAAACTCAGGATTTTCAGCAATTTTGTCTTGCATAAATGTACAAAAAACCAATCGTGGCGGAAAATCTCTTGGCAATAAGGCTTGTACTCTTTTTTTTTAATTTCAGCTTTTATTGGATCAACATTTTTATGTTATACACAATATTTATAATATTTAATATTGTTTTATTTCTTTGTACTGTATGAGGTTAATCAGTTGTCTCCTCTTCACTACTTATGTTACTGGTGACTAAATCTTGTGACAGTTTTCTTTTAAGTCGAACGGAGATGTTTTTCTATCCAAGGTTATAATATGTTGCTCCTTCACAGTTTTAAATTTTTAATGAACTTTTTTTTAAGATTTTTGGTAAAATCAGTTATCTTTGGAATGTTAAGTTCCTTATGACGTTGGTCGTTTCTAATATACCATGGTGCATTTGTTGCTATTGTTAGAATTTTATTTTGAAATGTTTGTAGTTTATGAAGATTAGTTTTTGCGATATTTGACCATACATAACCGGCATAAGTTAACAATGATCTTAGTAGTGACTTATAGAGTAAAAGTGAGCACTCTATTTTGAATTGTGATCTTCGGTTTATTAGAGGATATAGTTGGTTTAATCGCACATTAGCTTCATTAAGTTTTTGATTAATATGAAAACCCCAGTGAAGTCTGGTATCGAGATATACTCCAAGATATTTAACAGCTACATTTGACCATTCCACAGCTTGGTTATTTGTTAATATCACTGGAAGTTCTCGGAATCTTCGTAGTGCGAACATTTTTAATTGTGTTTTAGCCGGGTATACTGCAATTCCCCATTTATTAGCCCATTTGCATACGATATCTATATCATTTTGTAGTGACTTGGTTGTATTAGTAATATTGTTGTTCTGGCTAATTATGGTGGTGTCGTCTGCAAACATTGATAGCATTCCTGAGACAGTTGAAATATCGTGAACATATACAGGGTCATCCACGACGACCGTCCATTAGAACTTTACAGGGTTCTAGTTAAAACAAAAATTTGAAAATTCAGATTTAAGTACTATTAATTGCGTTCTCTTCGACTAAAATATTTTCAGTTTTCTAGCACTTCCGGTTATACCGGAAGTCGCCACCTACTTTATTTTTTAAATGGAACACCCTATATATTTTTACATATTTGGATTTATCTGTTTTCAAGATTTATGAATAACTTTACCTTTTGCAATTTGATTTGGTCGTTCTCGAGTTATTCGAATTTTTCTAGAAAATGTAGACCTTTATTAAAAAAATCAGAGAATGCTCGATTTTTGGGATATCAATTTAGGATTCAGAACATGCGTAAGCAACATGATGGAGTATGTTTTGGTGCCGAGTACAGCTGTCTAGAACGTTTGGTCACTTTACTACGGCACGTTAACTTTTCGAAATTTGGGAATACCATAACTTAATTTTTTTAAACGGCACCCCCCATATTTTATTACTTAGTCGTCTTCGGTGTCTCATTTTACATCTTTTATATTCCATATGTCCTATACCTAACATTTATAGTTTGGGAGATAAGTAGGGTTTTCTGAAAAATGCACACATATCATATCGATATTTAAGCTAGTGTGCCATGAATACCTAGTGTGACCTCTAAGATTTAGAGATCAAAGATTTACCACATTTACCAAGCAACGCACATAAGCGTTGCTTGGTAAATGTGGTAAATCTTAGATCTTGGTAAATCGCTTTTGTTATAATCGATGACGGAGTGGAGAGAATAGCTGGAGCATTCGGCAATAAAATCGTCAGTTATCGAATAAGAGAAGAAGTAATGCTAAAGTATTTTCCAGATTCATCGTTTGAATGCAATAAGAAAGTAAAAAACGCAAGGAAATTCTTGGCTTAAACGAAGTATTTTTTTTTTAATATATAAATTTTGTCAAATACTAGCATAGGTAAAATCATTTCCAATAATAAACACAGATTTAATGACTTGGAAAAAAGTGGTGTTTATCTCATACAATGTGGGGATTGCGAGTGTAGATACGTGGGTCAAGCTGGAAGAAATCTAAAGGCCAGATTTAAAGAACATAAACTAAAATAACATTCAACGCTTTTAAACATTTACAACAATCTCAACACTCCATTAACATTAATAATATAACAATGCTCAAAAATATTAATAAATGAAAGCAGCTGGACCTGTTTGAGGAATTTTTCATTGTTAAATACAAAAACGACAACCCTAACACATTGCTTAACGATTTTTGTGATATTAACACCAATAGATTTTTCATAAAGATGATGTAAATTAGTTCCGTTGACATTTTTCACTGTATTAATTATAGCCCTCTATATTGAAATTCAATAATCCCACGGTTTTAACGGTTTTCCTTTCAAAACTCGTAATTCAACTACGCATCAGCAGTCCACCTAAAACCGCCGTCATGTAAAGGTGGGACTCAGTACAAAGTTTTATTTTATTTTGTTAATTCTTTTTAATTTTCAAAATTTAAATATTAACGTTTTTCGGCTCATTTTTCGATTGTTTTTTCAATTTTGATATAAAAAAACTTTCTGGCTTAATCAACTCGAAGAGTAGATACTTGGAAACAACGTGGAAATTTACAAAACACGAGTTTAGCACGAAGGTAAATTATTTCATAACTTCCTTTATTACGGTAACGTCCCTTAGATACACTACAATCTAAATCAATAACTAGGATGCCGTGTCTATTCTCCCAACAAGCATCGCTAATTTCCTTTAGCCGATGAAACTCCATATCGCTCATTATGTGATCTTCAAACACGTGTTTTAAATTTGTTAAGTCTTGTTTAAATAACACCAAAAAGTTACAATTATCGCGAACTAATTGTTTTGGAATTGCACTATAACTTTGACAAATTAGAAAGCAATCAATGTTTTTATGTCGACCATACGAAAAAAATTCCTTAATGACATTTTGACCTGTACAGGAAACATCGTCAAATACGGCTATCGATATTCTTTCGCATCTTCTGGTCGCATGAACTCTTCTATATTAGAAAATTCATAGTAACCACAATCTTTTATAGGTTCAATTAAGCGTCTTAAAAAATCGTACTTATTTTGGTATAACGAATTAGAGCATAAGTACAAGTTTAGGAAGCGCAGCCATTACGTGCAAGTAAAAGCGATAACATAGCATTTGTTTTTCCGACACCAGAGGGTCCTACAATTAAACCTCGCTTACATTTTCCACCAAATAAATAACTGTGTCTTGTAAAGTGTTTTTCGACCGTACCTTTACTAAAATTTAGTATTGGCAGTGTTAGCGGTTGCGATAAACAATTTAGTTTCTTATAGATCACGATTCTCGCGCTAATTGAATTATATATATAACATTAACAGGATAAGACTGAATAAAAATATGGCAAAACTAACTTTACATAGATATACTATATTTATCTATAGCTATAAAATAATAGTAATAATAATAGTAACAATTGTAATAATATTGGCAGTGGTTTTTGCATGCAAGAAAAGTAACAAGAGCAAACATAGAGCAAATTTTTAAAAAATCCTTATGTGAAACACCCTTACGTTTACAAAGACTTAGACTACGGTTACAACCATACGATTTCGAAATTAAATATAAACCTGGAAAAGAATTACTAATAGCTGATGATTTATCAAGGAACTATATAAATGAAACTAGTTCTTTAGTTGTTGTTGATAAAGAAATTTATGTACATCTGTGTTTGATTGAGAAAAATATGTCTTTTACAAATGATAAACTTAAACTACTTGTAAATGATTTGTTGTTTAAAAATGATATAGTTATTGTTCCAAAGAGCTTAAGGCCTGATATGTTAAAATTAATACATCTAAATCATCTTGGGTATGAAAAGTGCAAGTATAAAGCTAAGAGAGTTTTATATTGGCCACATATGTTTAAGGAGCTGGCTGACATAATTAAAAATTGTTTAGTTTGTTTGAAAAATCAGAAAAGTCATAGTAAAGAAACTCTTATGCGTAGAGGTGTACCTAACAAACCGTGGGAGGTTCTTGGGACTGATTTATTTTATTTTAAAAGAAAAACATTCCTTATATTTCTTGACTACTTTAGTAAATTTGTGGAATTTCAACCATTGACCGGGGAATTCACTGAAAGTGTGATAATAGCTCTAAAATCTGCTTTTGCTCGCTTTGGAATCCCGAGAATTTTATACAGTGACAATGGTCCACAGTACAACAATTACAAATTTAAAGATTTTTGTAAGAAATGGAAGTTTGACCATAAAACTTCTAGTCCGCATTACCCACAAAGCAACGGTTTGGTTGAACGATACATACAGACGATCAAAAAAATGTTAAAGAAGACAGAAGAGAGTGGCTGTGATCCGTATATTGCATTGATGGAGTATCGGAATACGCCTATTGATGGGAATATTAACAAATCGCTAGCTGAGATAATGTTTGGAAGAAACAGAAATGCTTTCTTTCCAATCTTAGAGAATTTTAGAGTGAACAAGAGATATGATGAGGACAAGATAAAACTTTAAAAGGCACAGAACGCTTATAAGTACTGTATTGTATGTATTTGCCTGATTATTCTAAAGGAGAGATAGTATACGTTAAAGACAATAATCACAACATGACACCAGCTAAAATTATTGATAAGGCAGATAGACCTAGATGTTATCAAGTAGAATTGCAAAACAGGACACATAGTGGAACGAAACAAATTTAATCTGTATAAAGCATCTACTGAAGAGACTCTGCCGAATTGTAAAGAGCCTGAAGATTTTGAAATAACACTAAATAGTGACAAATTACCGGATATGAAATCTAAGAATGAAGAATGTGAATCGAGTCCAATTAACTCTTATCCGATTAGTTCGAGATCCGGACGCATCCTTCGTAAGCCTGCATATTTATCAGATTATGTATCTTAATCGTTTGTTAATAAAAAAGAGGGATGTCAGGTGTTAGTTGTAGGAGATCGCGCCACGCGTGGGCTTTAGAAATAGAATAGACAACCGTTAAGTATCGCATGAACTACGTCGTATAAAAAGTTAGTTAGATTTAGTTAGTAATAAAGCTTGTGTTAAGAACAGTTTTTGATATATATAATAAAGTAATCTAATACAGTGGTGTTGATTTATTGAGAACAATATAACGTTACACGTACCTAGAAACAATGCTTCAAGATAGACTCGTACGCGGAGTGCGAGATGAACCTCTTCAAAAAAGGTTATTGCCCGAAACAAATATTTCGTTAAACAAAGCGTACGAATTATGTGAAGCGCACGAGATGGCGTCGCAAGGCTTCCAAGAATTAAAAAACGAACTTTTGGCGCCATAGTCGGTAAATAAGCTCAACTTCAAAGGAACAGATAAAAAAGGCGTAAGAAAAAAATGTTATCGATGTTCAGGCGACCACACTACAGATGGTTGTAAATTTAAAGAAACCATATATCGGTTTTGTAAGAAACTACTATCCGTGCAAAAAGTCAAGGCCCCTCACTTTAGAGATCGATATCTTCGCAACCACTCGATAACAAAAATTGCGACAAAGTTTGCTATAATCGCTGAACACGTAACATATGTTAATTTGAAAATTTTCGGATTCACGGTTTTCTTTTTATCGCGAGTTAAATGAAAAAAGTACCCGATTTTTGAGAGTGCCAGCAACTTTGTCAACTTTGCGATTTTTTTTCTCGAAAACTATCGTAAGAAAAAATTTGAATTTTGAACAGGTGGTAGCCTGATGTGTTCTTAATGTGGGGTATATTTTATTTTTTCGATATTCCATACAGTTTCGCGGAAAATCGCGGTTTAGTAATACACCGTTATGCCGAAAACGGCTGGGTGGATTACCTCGAGGATTTGACCAAAATATGTCAAATAATGTCGATTGTCGGATTCCGTTAAAAAAAATTTTTTAGCGCCTTATTTTTTTACGTAGGTAAGATAAAGGCGCGACGTACTGTCTGGGACACATCATCTGTTCCGATTGGACGGAACCCTGCTCTCCCCGCATAGCTTATTTCTGTTTCTCTTTAATTTTTAATGCCATTAAATCGCTCTTAAAAAATTAGGGAGCCTTTTTTAATTTTGAAAAACTGATAACGGAATCCTACAACCGACACATTTGACATATTTTGGTAAAAATCACCAGTTCAAATTTGAAATTTTTTCGTCAAATAGTTTTGGAGAAAAAAAATCGCAAAGTAGACAAAGTTGCTGGCATTCACTGATGTCAATAAACTCTACCGCAATTTTTTCCATCGAGCGGTTACGAAGATATCGATTACTAAAGTGAGGGGCCTTGACTTTTTGCACGGATAGTAGGGCATATGGAAAACGTTTGTTTTGCGAAAAAGAAAGGGGCTCGAAAAGTAAACAAACAAGACGCGGAAGACGCATCCGAAGAAAAAAACGATGATTTCGGAGAATTAATGAACAATGTATATCAATGGCCGATAAATAAAATAGACGGAAAAATGTTTTTAAATTAGTTTGTTGCGAATGTTCGGGTAAATAATAAAAATATTTCAATGGAAATTGACAGTGGTGCGGCGAATAGCGTGGTCGGGAAAGATACTTTCGTGGAAATTTTCGGGAAAAATTCAAAAGTGTTAACAAAGTCGAAAGTGATTTTAAAAGACTACCAGAATAAAGTCATCAATTTGGGAGATGGTATTGCGACGGTCGAATACAAAAACAGTAAAATAAATTTACCTTTGTTGGTAATAGCGGAAAATCGAACGAATTTACTCGGGCGAAACTGGTTTGCACCTCTTGAATTAACCTTAAGCGGAGTGAGTGAGATAAACAAAGTGATCCGAACGAACGATTACTTGAAAGATTTTCCGGAAGTATTTAGCGAGGACATTGGAACGTATCGCGGTCCTCCGGTATCATTCGATATTAAGAATGGCGTACATCCAGTTCTACTAAAAGCGAGAAAAGTTACATTCGCCTTAATCTAGCGCGTTAACAGCGAAATTGAGAGATTACAAAAACAGGGTGTCCTAGAACCAGTCGATTATCCGAGATGGGGAACACCTATTGTTGTCGTAACGAAGAGCAATGATGAAGTAAGAATTTGCTAAGATTATCGTGCTACAGTAAATCGAGTGCTACATGTCGATTAATACCCAGTGCCATGTGTCCAAGATATTTTGGCGGTACTGGCTGGAGGAAAGATTTTCGCAAAACTAGACATGGCTCAGGCGTATCTTCAAGTGAAAGTAGGCGACGCTGCGGCCGACGCACAGACTATAATAACGCATCGGGGAGCATTTCGATGTAAGAAGTTACAATTTTGAATAACGGCGGCACCGCAGATATTCCAGAGATTCATTGTTTCAAGACTTAACGGAATCCAAGGAGTATTACAGTATTATGACGATATTTTAGTAATTGGCAATTCGGATACAGATTTAGATACAAAACAACGAGAAGTACTTACAAGGGAAGTATCAGAACTGTCCCTCATCGATTTTGTTGAAATTTGGTACAGCAATAGTATGGCCAAAAATAAGGTTTGCGTATTTTTTTATACGTGCCAATAAAGCCCCTGGGGCGAGTTATAACGGTTGAAAATCGGGGCGAAATATATATATTCGCTTATAGGCTGAAAACGAAAATAGCTATCGAAATGTGGTAAATGTATGTTTATGAAATGTGTTTATGATCCATAAACCATTGTTGGGACTTTTGAGATCGGGAAAACCTACCCCGGAAGTCGTATCTCCTAGAATGCTACGATGAATCATCACATTATCAGTATATGATTATGACTTGAATTATGTACCAGGAAAACAGTTGGGGAATGCGGACGCTTTAAGCAGATTGCCAGAAAATAGCAACCCAATTGAGCCTCCAATAGCTTCAGACGTACTTCTTTTGGAAAACGTACCTGAAAAATGTTTAACAGCTGAGGAAATAGCTAAAGCAACAGCAAAAGATTCGGTACTGTCAGTTATTCAAAGGAATTCTCAGAGGAATTTAAAACATTTATAAATAAAAAAGTAGAAATATCCTCCTATCAAGATTGTTTACTGTGGGGATCAAGAGTAGTGTCGAGATAATGCACACAGCACATCCGGGAATGATAAGGATGAAATCGCTGGCCAGTTCGTATGTTTGGTGGCCGGGTATGGATGGATAAGGAAATAGAAGACTTTGTGAGAAATTGTCAAAGATGCCAAATGAGTGGAAATCAACCAGGAAAAGCGCCAATCCATCCGTGGGAATGGAAAGTATTTTTTGGTCGTGGTGGACGCCTATTCATAATGGTTAGAAGTTCAACAAGTTTCTGGACCATCGAGACATGAAACAATAACAGTTCTAAGAGAATTATTTGCTTAACAAGTATTGAGGAAAATGTCAGGTGAGAATTTACAAGTATTAATGGCTAGATATCTTTTAGTTCAACACATTACACCGAGTTCAACCACGGGGAGATCACCAGGAGAGATGCTCATGGGAAGAAGATTGTCATGCCTATTGGACCGAGTCAAACTAGATTTCACTAAGAACATGAAGACCAAACAAGATGAGAAGTGTTCAACAACACTGCCAAGAATGTTTACGTTAGACGATTCAGTTTTCATGAGATCGTATGGAACACGGGAAAAGTGGCAACCTGCAGTAGTAACTGAAGTAACCGGTCCACTTAGCTATAAAGTCCAAACACCAAGTGAGACCAAATGAGATAGAAGAGCCCAAGGTTGGAACATGCAGAAGCAGAGCCATTACTGGAAGAAGAAGCAGTTGCACAACCAACCAACTTTTGATTGGGACAAATGAAGACAAACCAGAAACTACACGCCCAAGAAGAGAACGAAAAATTCCAAAATATTTACAAGACTATAAAACTGAATAGTTCTTCACCAGGGGTGAGGAGTGTAGTGTATGCGCATGCGTGAAAGAAAAAGAAAAAGACTTATGTATTCATATATTAATAAATAGTGTAAATCATACGTGTAACTTTTATTGCCACTCGATACACCACACTAGGAAAATCAAAAAGTGACTTGGGACAACTGGAGAAGTATTTACATCATATTTGGCCCACTTCGCATGGAATTAGGGGGCTCGGAGAATCAATTTTGATTGTTGCAAATAAAATTTAGCGAATATATCCGCGTTTAGAACAGAAGTTATAAGTGAGTATTAAATTATATCTAGTCTCACGTCGTTGGTTTAATGATTTTTGATTACAAGAAGAATCTTGCCGAGTTACCTTTTTACTACTAGTTTTTTTTTGATAGGCGCAGTAATTATGTTTGCAGATATTCAATTATATCGAAATCGATATAATTTCTTTGAAATGATCGCTTTATTAAGTGATTTTAACCAACGAAATTCCTCTTTAAATTAGTGTATGAAACGTATTGGGTTGGACTATAAAAATTTTATGAAAAAAGTCGGTAGTTTTCTTTGCTTTTACCTTAACCCCAAAATGTTAAAATGATGATAGAAACTCAACATATCTTAAGGGGGTAATTTATGCAAATGAAAATGTGTGTTTAATCTTAAACTAAAGCCACAAATTTTGTTTTCATCTACAATTTCTCAAGCAATTTATAAGGAAAATAATTAAATTTATACATAAACAGAAAATCAACCATATTAAAAAAATCATACCGACTTTATTTATAAGAACTAAGAAACGACTTTTATCTTAAATTAAAGCATAAACTTTGATCTTCATGCCTATGTATAATAAGTAATACGAGTAATAAGAAAAATGTCAATGTTCAATTAAGGTAATAAACGAAAAATTGATTTTATTTTAATATGTAACTGTTATTAGACAATACTGAAAACAAATTATATCATCAAGCATCATTAAGCACAACTCAATACAAATACATTTTTAATACATTAACTACTTTCTTAATGATATTACATTCCCAAACTTACCAGTTTCATTACTTCATTCGCCGTTAACATGTCGAAAACATTCGGGTTTTACCTTTTAAAAGAATATTTGCGAAAACACCACGCTTTGCCAATACCGCAAGGATTACACGGGTTCGGACCAACAATTTTGATTGGTATAAATTTAATTTTAGGAAGTTACCCATTTATATCAAACATTATAAGTAGGAAATAAGCGCGAATCCGTACACAATTTTATTTACCTCTCAATCATTCCAGATTACAAGATTAATTTTGTGAAATGTTTATATAATATGGAAATTTTTACAATGGGACTATTAGTAATATCAATTAACGTCCAACTAGTACGAAATCGACACCGCTTTTTTAAATTAATAAATGTATTGAGTGATTTAAACCAGGTGGAAATTCAAAGAATTAAAGGCATTGAAACAAATTTAAAAATGTTGTTTAAAACGATTCGTTTCGCTTCATTTTTTGTCGCTTATTTTATGACGTATTATGGTTTGTTGAACGATGATTGCGGTGGTTTAAGTGACTATAAAAATTGTTTAGTTATTGAGTATTACGTTCCTTTTGGTGTGAGGTATTGGGTAATAACGTTAATATTGTTGTTTCAAGCATACACAATACATCTTACAATAAATGGATTATTAATAGCGATAACGATGTGTTATTATTCAATGAAGTTGTTGATTGTACGTATAGAGCACCTTAATGATATGGTAAAAAATACAAAATTAACTAGAAATAATAAAAGAAATTTTAAAACGTTGCGACCCATCATTTTGTATCATCAACGTATATTAAGGTGTTAACCTTTTTAAGTAATTATTTTTATTAAGTAAAATATTTCAGGATGTTTCAATTTCTTAGTGGTTACCTCAGCAGTTTTTTTGTACTCACAAAATTTGGTACTATAGTTGGTCTTACTATGACTACTGTTAAATTTGTTGTGGTACGAATTAAATTTATTTAACATGGTTTGAATTAATCTAATATTTTTTTAGAGTAAGGACTCGACTAGTTTCTTAATGACCATAAGTTGCTTAGTAGGAATGTTTGCACCTCACACTTTTGTGCAGAAATTGACTACAGCGGTATGAATAATTTCTTTCTTTTTCTCACTATTATTAATTTAATCAAATTAATCAAAATAGGCTGCTGGAGTGAGCGATGAAATATATAACCTTAATTGGTACGAAGCGGATACATCAACGCGCAAAATCATTCTAATTTTTCTTCAAACAACTCAAAAACCACTCGCAATCGAGCTACCATTTTTCGGCCAATTCTCCCATGTTGCATTGGGAATTGTAAGTTGTAATTAATTCATTTTTAAATAATACAATAAAAAATATTATTTAAGGAATACAAGAGAGTTTACATTTTATATAATTGGATACTAACAATTATGAAATAAAGATTTATTGTAACGAATTTATCGCAAATATTCAGCACCTATTTTTAGATGACACTTTTGATGTTTATGATTTAACGCTAAGCAAAGACCCCCCAAGCTAAAAGCACACATAATCAAACAACTAAAGTTCACAAGTTCTTCAAGTAAGCTCAAATAAGGTAAAGATCAAAAAGTTTTTATAAACGAAATTTTAATCGGGTTAATATTTTAGGATGAATTATTTAGTTAGTTTTGCCCTGACGTTACTCTGCCTTTCGAAAGCGGTCGTTTCAGTACCCATCATCAGCGAACCAAATTCGTTACAACAACTTTGTTATTATATTATGGACAACTTGAGATTACAAGAAAATACGAGTAATAATATCATAGTTAATTTAATTAGTTTTGAAAAAAAATTTGAGTTATAGGTGGCAACATTGAGGATAAACACTCAGGACGTGGAATCAAGAGACAAGCAGTTGATCACGTGTTTTTGCGATTTGGGAAACAATTCGGCTTCTAAATTACTATTTTAATGAATCATCACCAGTTTTCAACATTTTGTTATAGTAATATAGTCAAAAAATAAAAACTAAAATTTAATTTATTTTAATTTTATTATTATTAGCTGCGATTTGAATAATTATAATAACACTAGTTTACAAGAAAAATCTCGAAAAATGTTGTGCTGATTCTGAAACTGTCTTCAGTTTTTCTCCATCACGTCCAATTTTCGGGATAGGTATACCCAAAAATGTGGAAAATCGTAAATTAAAAAACATAGTAACGGTTCATGTTCAGTATATTTTTTATTTTGCATAGTGTGTATAGCTTGTTTTGATAGATTGAATATAGATTGGTACTTGCTATATGTTTAAAATTAAAAAAGAATATTAGTCTTTTCGAAAGACAACTTTTATGTACGTCTTACATGCAGTTACAATTAGACAAAAGTGATAGAAAACTAAAAATAACAACGTTCATTTTTTTTATAAATTTCTGACGGTAGCAAAAAAAATGAAAACATGGCTACTAAAAATTTTTAAATTTTTGGAAAGTGAATTGCGAATGTTTGTAGCAGCGCTACAAATACTCCCCTCTCCAGAACATACAAAGATCACTCAAAATTAGCAGCAGCAAGGATATGAATACAAATGTAATTTAAGTTTAAATACAGGCGTCCCTCGTATAACACGGTTCATTCGTACCGTGCTATATCAAAACCGTGTCATACTTTTTTATTGATTAATTTAAATTATTATATTATTTCTTTTTGGTCGAAATTTTGCCAAAATTTCGTTCCAACAAAATCGACAAATAAAAAAGTAAGTTATCTTCAAGTTTTTAACCAAAAATAAAAATATTAAATTATTAAATACAATACAGTGAAATAGAAAAATTAAAAATACAACAAAAAATATATTCAAAAAATAATAAACATTATTATAAAATAAATAAAAACGTCTTATTAGAACACAAAATTAATTTTTATCATCACTCTCATCAGAAAACACAACAAATCTATTTTTTTTCCTAACGTTGGTTGAAACTCCTCTTCATTAATTACTTGTTTTCTTTGTTTTGATCTTGCAATACTTTCAGCATTTCCCTATAAGGAGCTAAAGAATTTTGAAATTCTCTCTTAAATTTCCCTATGCGTACAACTGAAGAATCTTTTTGAACAAAAAAAACTTCTAATTCATTAGCTAAAGTCCTTTTTGCAGATCAGTTACATTAAAATTAACAACCGATTCAATATCAGAAATCTCTTCGGAAACATCCACGTTATTTGAAGTGGGGATATTTATTAATTGAATTAGTTCTTCTTCGTTAAAAGCGTGTTTCTCAAACAATTCCTGAACATCATCAATGTTCATATCTGACAATCCGTCCCCTTCTAAATTAGAAGCAACCGATATAATTCTATTATACTCTGCTTCCTCAAATGGGACAGAGTTTCCTCTCTGTACCATTTGTGGTAACAAAGCTTTCCAACACGCATGAAGTGTACACTGTTTTAACTCCTTACAAGATAAATTTATAGTTGCAATACAATCTAAAATAGATAACTCTTTCCAAGCTTGAGTAAGCGTTAAACTCTTATCGTTTTCTAGCCTTTCGAAAATCTTTTGGAATGATATTCGTATATAATATGCCTTAACTGTTGAAATTATTCCTTGATCTAATGGTTGGATCAGCGATGTGCAATTTGGAGGAAAACATACAATCTTTACATTTGGATAACTTAACTCTTTACTGTGACAAGCAGCATTGTCAATAAGCAATAAAACTTTAAAGCTCAAATTTTTTTTCTTCAATAACTGTTCTAGTTCAGAAATGAGATGTGTTAAATGTGCTGGTGAACACTGGACCAACAAATGCACTAAAGCCAAAGAAATCCCGGCTAAATGTTTCAACTGTGGAGAAAATCATCCAGCGAACTACCGTGGATGCATTGTGATTAAGGAACTGCAAGCCATCAGACATAAGAAAACAGTAAATTCAAATAAAATAAAGCCAGGCGCCTCGTATGCCGAAAAAGCAAGTGGTGAAACTACAGAGAAAACTGTAAGTACATTAACCGATAAGAAAGCAGTAAGTTAGATCTAATACTAGAAAAAATACTTCAACAAGAAGAAATAATAACAACTTTATATACTCGTCTAGATTTCATTGAAAGCAATTTAAACCAAGGAGCGATTCGACAGCATCAAAACACACTACCAATAATACTTAAAGAAAACAATATTGATATATGTCTTATCTCCAAAACTCATTTTACACGAGAATCGTATATAAACATCAACCATTACAATACTTACCACACAATTCACCGGAGTAATGCGGCTCGAGGTGGAAGTGCAATTATTGTTAAAAGGAATGTTGACCACTATTTGAACAATACAATTAGTACTGAACAACATCAAACTACAGTGGTAAAAGTTCAAACTGCTAATGGCTTAATATTTGTAGGAGCAACGTACATACCACCGAGACATAATCTCAAAAGAGAAGATTATCAGGAAATTCTACTACATCTCGACAACAAATTTACACTTGGAGGAGACTTTAATGCAAAACATATGTCTTGGGGTTCTCGCTTGACAAATACAAAAGGAAGAGAACTGAACCATGCAATAGAGGCCCTAAATTGTNAGATTCCTACGCGCTAGAAAATTTGATAGCAAAAAAGCATTCCAAATGATCCAAAGGTACTATTTAATGAAACTAAAATGTCCCGAATTATTTCGATGTCCTCTTCCGTCCGAATGCGAAAACGTATTCGACCTTCAAGCGCAATTTATGTTACCGAATCGTGATCAACTCGGCCGAAGAATTTACATAATACGAGTGGACAATTTCGATGCATCAAAAGCATCCATCGACGAAATTTTCCGCGCCAATGTTTTAGCATTGGAACAAGTCGTCAAAGAGGAACAGACACAAATTTGCGGTATCGTTGTCGTATTGGATATGGCCGGATTAAGTTTGAATCACGCCAAATTTTTTACACCGTATTATGCAAAAAAAACCGTTGAATTAGTTCAAGAAACATTTCCATTACGATTTAAAGGATTTCACATTGTTAATGAACCGTTTTATTTCGACGCTGTCATGGCTGTGATTAAACCGTTTTTAAAAGAAAAAATGAAAAAAAGGGTAATTATTAAAATATAGTAAAAGCTAGAATTAACACTAGTATTAGAACTAATACTAGACCAAGTACTAGAAACATTCGGGTTTAGAAATCTTAAAAGACGTGCAGCTAAACTCGAATATTTCTAGTTCTAGGTCTAGTGTTAGTTATAGTTTTAGTTCAATTAAAAATATCTAGTACTAATACTATTATTAGAACCAACACTAGACCTAGAACTAGAAATATTCGAGTTTAGCTGTATTGAGAGACGTATGGCTAAAGCCGAATGCTTTAGTGGTAAGTCTACTCTTTGTTCTACTTTTTGTTCAATAACAATATACAACAATCTAATGCTGAATAACAATTAAAACTAGAACTAACACTAGGTCTAGAACTAGAAATTGGCAATTGTAGCCTCCAGGTTCATCATGGTGAGTATTAATAGGATAAAAAAGAATAAGTCCACGATGATTATTTATTATTTTTTTCTAATTTCGGTACAACAATGTTTCGCTTTTTCTAAAAGTGTCTTCAGGTACGACTAGAATAATATGGAACATAATTATTACTAGTTGACGGTTTTTTTTTGTTGGTGATATAAAATTAAAATTATAAAAAGTTCTTACCGTTAAAAACAAAGAATGATGCACACGTGAAAAAATGATCATGTGGAAAAATTTCTCTTACAAAAAACTACGACGGACCGATGATTAAAAATATAATTATGGATTAAAGAAAAAAGTGAAATTTTTGAAAACGGCGTGGGTTTACCATGTCAGGTTAAAAACTCCAACGTCGGGTGATAGGTTAATAAAAGTAAAAGGTAAAAGTAAAATACCGGTGTGACATTAAACTTATTGAAAATATCGGAAAATTGTTTTTGGATTAAAGGGTGGAAAGGTATAGAGACAAAAAACTACACACCGGTATACCGTGCTAATGCTAAATTGGGCCAATTATTAACTAATAATAAACACATATTCGATGATAAACTTAAAAGTGGGATTTACAAACTTAATTGTNTAGTGCCCTAGTCGATTCAAACGCGAGCAATAGTGCGGAATTATAACAAAAACAATAATACCCAATACGTGTGTTCCGCGTATCGCAGTGTGCGCGTTTTTGTGTTTTGGTCTTAAAACGGTAAAAATATGACAATATTTATCTATTATTATGGGTAAAGCAGACTGGACCACTGGGAAAAGCTGCAAAACATTATCTAGTTTAATTTAGTGTTAAAAATAAGTAACTAATTAGTATGTATGTATTTACTAGGTATTATGCAATTGTGCTATGCATAATATAGAAAAAAAAAGTTCTGGAATAAAACAATTTTTAAACCAATCTTCAAACAAATTTTGTGTCATCTATCCCTTTTTATTTCCTCGCCAGAAAACTGGTGGATTTATCTACGTTTTTCATTGCTCTTGGATTCAAGGAACGATTTATTAACATTGGTTTTACTACAAAATCTCCCGATAAGTTACTACACATGTGGAGTTTGTAACCTGATACTTGCTTCTGAATTTTTGAAACAAATGTTCGTGACGGCTGTTTCTTCCAGTACAAAGCTGTTTCATCAGCGTTAAAAATTTGATCTGCCCCAATATTCTCCCCTTAATTTGTGGTATTTCCAGCATGAATTTTTGGGCAGCATCTACATCTGCTGAAGCTTGCTCTACTTGAAATTTTCTATTGTGCAAAGAAAATCTTTCTTTAAAATTTTCAAACCACCTTTACTTGTCAAAAATAACACCTTTGGTTGTTCTGTAGAAGAAAGTTCACTTTTCTTTAAGTGCGTGTAAATTCTGAGTGCTTTTTGTTTAATACTGTTTGTGCTCAAAGGGATTTTTTTATCTAAACAATCTTCCACCATATTATAAGAGCATGTTCTATTTTTCCTTTTTTAATATAGTTCGAATAGTAGCTTCATTCAAATTTAATGATTTTGCAATGGATGAAGGCTCTTCTCCGGTTTTTATACAATCTAAAATTCTAATTTTTTCTTCGGGAGAAATAAATTTTCGTTTAAATTTTTGCTTCGCGATCTTGTCAGACATTGTCTAAATTTAGGGTCCAAAATTAAATTTACTATAAACGTTACAACTTCAATTTTTACTTACCTACCTCAAATTAAAATTATTATGAATTAACTTTCAGTAACTGTCAAAAGAAGATTATTTATTATTCACTATCTATTTTTTTTTTTCACTTTTTGCTATTTACTTTCCAAAAAAGAACAAGAAAAAACTTTACCAACTTCATTCACAAAGAACAAAACACATAACTACCCTCATAAAGAAGTGACGGGTTTTCTGTAGCAATAAAGTTGGGAATTCCCCTTATTGAACGTAATTGAAAAAAAATATTCAGTTGAGAATTCCCCGTGTGGAACGAAAATTAAATTCAAGTTTTTAAAATCGTGTTATATCAAAACCGGGTAATATTAATTAGTTAAAATTTTGTACAGTGTAATATCGAATCCATGTTATAATAATCGCAAATTTTGTACCGTGTAATATCGAAACCGTGTTATACGAGGGACGCCAGTACAGAAACGAACTCCCAAATGTTTTTTGTAACTGTTAATAATTTGCGATGAGTTATTGTTACTGAAAGAAGAATTATTGAAATTAATTATTGAATTATGATATGTAATTTTAAAAAAACGAATTCAGAAGTCGGCAAATCTTTGTGAATGAAAGGTTTCGACACTGAATGAAATTTTGAATAGGTTTAAGATTAGGATAAGTTTCTCTCAAACTTGTTAGTAAGGGTGTTGTCTCTATGTTATATTGAGAGGTTATGAAGAATTCTGCTGGTAAGCGTAATGGCTGTCCATAGACTAGTTCAGCGAGGGATCAACCGAGATCTTCCTTTAAACTGTATCTTAAACCCAGTAAAATTACAGGAAGATTGTTGTTCCACCTATAGCTACATCCTTTGGCGGTAATGGCATTTTTGAGGGTCCTGTGGAAACTTTTCAAAATGCCGTTTCTCTGGGGATGATAATAAGAGGAGTGGATCTGTTGAGATCAAAACAACTTATTGAATTGTTGAAAGAGATGGGATTCGAATTGTTGACCTCTATAATGTGAGATGGTATGAGGCACACCGTATCTCGAGAAATATTGATTTAATAGGGCTGAAGCTATGGTTTCAGATGTTGTATTTGGAAATTGGCAACTGTAGCCTCCAGGTTCATCATGGTGAGTATTAATAGGATAAAAAAGAATAAGTCCACGATGATTATTTATTATTTTTTTCTAATTTCGGTACAACAATGTTTCGCTTTTTCTAAAAGCGTCTTCAGGTACGACTAGAATAATATGGAACATAATTATTACTAGTTGACGGGTTTTTTTGTTGGTGATATAAAATTAAAAATTATAAAAAGTTCTTACCGTCAAAAACTAAGAATGATGAACACGTGAAAAAATGATCATGTGGAAAAATTTCTCTTACAAAAAACTACGACGGACCGATGATTAAAAATATAATTTTGGATTAAAGAAAAAAGTGAAATTTTTGAAAACGGCGTGGGTTTACCATGTCAGGTTAAAAACTCCAACGTCGGGTGATAGGTTAATAAAGTTTTGAAATGCTGAAGGCAGGCGTAAAAGAAACTGTGAAAGCTGAAGGCGTGTTATAAAAAGGGAATTTATCGTTAAAAATCTAAAAGAAAAGGGTATTAATATTATTGAAAGCGTATTATAACGTTAAGTGTTACCGAAAAACTTGAGTCGTGTGCACATATCGACTGGTTACAACGGACCCAGGTCAGTTAAAAGAGGAAGTAATA